CTTTTCCTTTTTGATTGAACCTTTTCCTTTTTTGTTTGATACTTTTTCTTTTTTGATCGGACTTTTTCCTTTCATTTTGGGAATTTTCTTTTTTGATTGACACTTTTCCTTTTTTGATTGGACCTTTTCCTTTTATGATTGAAACTTTTCCTTTTTTGATTGGGACTTTTCCTTTTTTGAATGGGAAACCCTGTAATTTACCATAAATCTTTTAAATTAAAATTAATTTATAAATATTTATGGATATTCTGTCTTATACAATATAATGAAATGTGTATATATACCTGGTGGCTCAAATGGGGTATTTTAAAATCTATATAACTCTTAATCACGCCTCTTGCTATTTATGAAATACATATTTTATTAAAGAATATATAGAACTCAATTTTTGTTAATAACTAGATTGAGTCGTTTTTTTTAGCAAATACTAATATTTGACAAAAAATAACTTAAAACCTCATTTATTTTTATTTATTCAAGAATGGGCTAGACGGGTTCTCATTATGTAGAAATAGTCGGACACTTCCTTTTTTAATTTTTTTATCTAAATTAAAACACAAAGCATACTTTAAAATCTTATAAAATTATCAAAATAATAAATATAATTAATGTAATATAATATTAATCTATCATTTTTTAATACCTAACAATTATTACCAATGTGACGAAATGGAGGATCATATTTTATCGTGTAAGACTCAAAAGGTAGCCTATTACTTGATAATTTTTTAGTATATGAAACATTAAGGTCTCTTTAAGGATATCAAATCTTCTCTTGATAACCTCGACAGGAAGCTAAAATTTAACAAGAATTAATAAAGGAAATTATTATTCTACGGTTTTTCCTAATTCTCGAGTCACAATAATAGTAGTGTTGTTAAAATACTTAAAAACGGCTAACTCAATATTTTGGCCATTAAATATTATGCAAATCTCGAGATTTCGTTAATAGATGTCCAAACCTTTCAATGATTTTTGAGCAAAGTCTACAGACTTGCGTAATATTTATGGCTAAAATATTGGATTACCCGTTTTAAAAATCGAGCCGTTTAGCAACACTAAATAATAGCAATTTTATCATTAGAAATTACATTAATTATGTTCTAAGACGGTCTTAATAAAAATATATGCTTCATTTAAATGTGTATTAATTAGAGTATTATTTGAACATTTTAATATAATATTTTTAGCAATATCGCCATAAAATTTATTATCAATTTTTAACTGTAGAGATGAACAGAGCTGTAGGATAATTTTGCGAACCTTTATTAATAAAGAATATTTTGATTGCAACAGAATATTAACTGCATGAAGTAGATTTCTTACATGTGAAACTAATCCCAAATATGCTTCTGCCCTTTCATACTCGTAAAAATTTTTCAAAATTTTTGAACAGCTTTTAAAATCTTTATTTAAGAAATATTTTTTTTTAAGGGTTTGTAAAATTTTAAAATTCTATCGATGGCAGGTATTTTGATAACCACCTGATAGGTACATATCGCAACAACTCACACCCTGCCAAGTCAGACAACTCTACCAATTCTTTTAATTCATTAACTCTTTTAGTTGATGAATTAAATTCGTTAAAACATCTCATCTTAATTATTTCGGCATCTACATGCTGCCTCAATTCGGTAAATACACTTTGGGTTTTGCCAAAATTTACAGAGGCATTATCGGCGCATAAAGCTGACATGCAATTCATTGATAACCCTGAATCAGCTATATTTACATTATGTGGTTAGCTACATGTTTGGATTTTTCACTATCCGAGGAAAAAAATAAAAGTTTTATTGAAATGTTCCTATTCTTGTTGAAATAGAGAAAGATCAGGGGAAATATTTTAATATTTCCCTTATTAGATGCATCTGTCAGAATTGCATATGGTTGTCCATCTTTCAAATCGTCTAGAATTGATTTCTATTATTCAGGTACTAAAACACTTGTGATAGCCTTACTCATTTTTGTTCTACCACAAGTAAGGTTTGCACTTATATTGGAGTCGTTAAATATCATGGAAAAAAAAATTCGACCCACATTGTGATGATATAGCTCTGTGAATATTGAACTACATGATAGATGTATACGATTTCTGCAACTGTAGTTGCATCTGTATTATTTATTATTTTGGAGAATATTTTTGTATTGCAATCGATGTTGATATACTCCCCTGTACTGATGAATGAAATGATGTTGATTTATTATTGGATAAAAATAAAACAGGATAGAAAGAAATTTACAAACTGGACATGTTTTTCGAATAAATATTTAAAATCTATTTTTAAAATATAAAAATAATCAATTACTGTCTCTCAAAATTATTATTTATATATTAAAAAGGTTAAAAACTTTTTTAAAAAATTGCGGATTAAAATATTGCGGTAGATTTTTGCGGGAGATTTCCAATTGCGGTAGTTTTGCGGAGAAAGATGTCTGCGTGTAAACTAAAAAATTGCGGGAGTCTCCCGCTATTTAAATGAGCTTGTACCCAATAACAAAATTCTTTGTAAATATATTACTGGTTACATAAGACTAAAATTTAACATTAAAAAATTTCAAGCCAGGTCCAAGCTCATAATATTTGGAAAAAATTTCCACGCGTTCAAGACCTTATAATTTATAAAAAAAATTCTCAAGCCTAGCTCAACCCATAATAATTTTGAAAATTTTTTCCTAGCCCGGCCCATAATAATTTGTATAAGATATTCCCAAGTCAGGTGCAAGCAAATATTAATCTTGAGGAATATTTTTCAAGCCCAGTCCATCCCATATTAAGTTTCAAAACTATTTCCCAAACCCGGAGATAGTTAAATTTCTAAATAATTTATCAACACATGAAGGGGAAATCTCGGATTTACCAATTAGTGGGTTAACTCCTTTTATCAAAAAATTTGATAAGGGCTATCTATATCTTTTGTTAAGTACAAAAAAATGCTATCTATTTAAATTACAAAAATGCCATTCAATACTAATGAAACTTATATGCAATTTATTTATATATTTTTTAAGAAATTTGTTTTTCTTGCCATATAAATTTAGGTAATTTTTTTAAAAAATGATGAGGATTAATTATTACTCTGTGTGTCTGGTAAAAATAAGAGCAAATCCTTTATGACATTTTAATTTTATTTTTGATGGAAAAAGCGACAAAATAAATCTGGGCAGTCGTCTGCAGAAGAAAAAATTAATGTATAATATCATCCCATTTAGGGTTGTAGGTGAAAGTAATGAATAATGACGGATTACCAAAGCAGTGTACAACACCCATTGCTTCCTGATAAAGCTGAGGCCCTGGGCTACTGGTAAAAGAAGAACGCGAAATGATATTTCTGCCAAAGTGTCAATTTTGGTATCCCCCTCTAAAATAGAATCATGAACGACATTGTCAACTCAACCATAAAACGGTCGTAAGTATTGTTATAAAGGCCATGACAAAACTATCGCATATTTTCCCATTAATAATGTTAATGAAATTGGCTGCACTACACATTCACGTTTGAACATCTCTCTAAATATTCATGAAAGTTCCTCAGGGAATCGGATAAAGTATTATTTATAATAACTCCTAATGAGGTGAATGATAGTGGAATTAAATGCTTATGTTTGTTAAAAATTAGGCAGAGGGGGCATAGGGATTGTGGTAGTGGTGATAGAAATATCATTTGGAGGCAACTGGGTGTATAAAATAAACATATAGATATAAAACATTAGATAAAAAATAAAATAAACCTCCAGAGGAGTTCACAGTGCTTTATTATCTTGGCCACCAGTAACTCTAGAACGGGTAAGGCGTTTGTTGAATCGCCATTTTTTCCTTTGCTTATCTTTAATAATAGATTCATCATGTTTGGTAGCAATGTGAGGGATTAGGGTTAGCCTAGTCAAATAAAGAAATCAGGCAAAAATATAAATATACTATTGTTGAAATTAAACAAACATTAAAATAATGTAAAACCGGTAGAAGGGACAATATTAGATGCATATTTCTAATAAGTTGGAGGGCTACCATCAAATAAAATTTTTGGGGACTTATCAAGTCTATTATGATATTATAAAAGTTAAAAAATAACATGATAAAAGTTAAAAAATAACATGATAAATGTAATGTTTAAGATAAAGGTTAATTAATTGTAAGGTAATTAAAAAATTAGATTAAAAAAGGGGGGAAAAAGAAGGTATAAATTATTATATTATATTATATAAATTAAAGGTGATAAGGTTTTGAGAAATAGTGGTTAATAGATAATAGAGATAGAAAGAAAAGAATGAGATAATAAAATTTAGTGATAAATAAAAATGTTTACTTTTGTTAAAAAATAGGTGGAGGTGGCATAGGGATTGTGATAGTGGTGATAGAAATATCATTTGGAGAACTGGGTGAAAATAAAATAAACATAGATATAAAACATAAGATAAAAAAAAACCTCCAGATGAGTTCATTTCAAGCGTAGTTCTTTATTATTTTGTCTACCAGTAACTCTAGAACGGGTAAGGCTTTTATTTATTCGTCATTATTTTCTTTGCTTATCTTTAATAATAGAATCATCATGTTTTGTAGCAATGTGAGGGATTAAGGTTGGGTTAGCCTAGACAAATAAAGAAATCAGGCAAAAATATAAATAAACATTATTATTGAAATAAAATGAAGATTTTTTGGAATAGATATAAAATAATATATAATATTATTTATAATAAAAATAATGTACTATGTATATTTTTTGTGCGTTATATAAAATAATCAGCAGGGATAATAGAGCAATGGTGGATCCGACAAAATGGTAAGTTTTTAAAAAAGTAGGATCCTTAAAAATTGTTATATTAATTTAGTTAAATTTTAAAAATGTACTTTGATATAATTTTCAATTAGACAAAATATTCATCAGAGATAAAAGGGCATATTGAGCGGCCTGACAAAAGGATGCTTAAATAATATAAAATTGTTTAAATTATAAAATAATATCATACTAAGTAATGTTCATTCTTATTCGTATAAACCGGGATTAATCGGATATAACCTCATGATATACCACATTGGTTGTAGTCTTTGTTTTATCATTGGTTATAATCTTTAATTTATGAGGAGAACAAACTCGAGACATAGCCACATATAGCTGTCCATGTGAAAAAACAGGATGAGGTAAATAGATGCCAACTTTGTTCAACGTTTGTCCCTGAGCTTTATTAATTGTCATGACAAAAGCAGGTCTCACGGGAAATTGGCGGTGCTTAAAGGAAAATGGCAAGCCAGAATCTGTAGGAATTAAACTTATTCTTGGAATGAGAACTTTAGTACTGAGAAAACTACTAGAAACAAATTCCGCCTCAATTATATTTGGTAGCAAAGAAGTTATAATCAATTTAGTCCTATTATTCAAACCAGAAGCAGAATTTAAGTTACGCATTAATATTATAGGTACCCCGACTTTGAGTAAAAGTTTGTGAGGTGGTAATCCTGATATACTTAAAGAGTTTAAAAATTCAGTGGGATAAAACGTCGCTTCATCCTCGGTTATGGTTTCATCAGCACTTATGTATGTAATTAAATCCCCCGGAATTTTGTTAATCAATTTAATATTTATAGAATTGACTACGTTTTTAGGGGTCAGGATTGCATTTTGAGCAAATGATGTTCGGTTAAATGATGAATTGTATTTGTCTATATCATAAACAAAAGCAATAAGATCCTCGATATCATTGGAAGCTATACAACAATCTTGAGGAATTTTTATTTTATCCCTGGAGCCATCGAATGTTTCACAGCCTTCACCAACTCTTAAAAGAAATTTTGAGTATTTATTATTAATAAGTTAATCATTTGCTTCCTGAAATTATAGAAGTCTCATATTAATACATAACCTTAATGGCACTATATGTGACCATAAATAGGATCGTTTTAAGGTTGAGTTAACAATTTCGCATCTTCCACCACGTTTAATAACAGGTAAAATCTGTCTAAAATCTCCGCCAAAAATAATAATTTTACCACCAAACGGTTTGTCTAATTTCATTATATCCTGAAATGACCTATCCACGGCCTCGAATATATGTTTATGAGTCATTGATATTTCGTCCCATATTATAATTACCGATTGTCTTATCAATTCAACTATTTGGCTTTGGTAAGGAATATTACATGAGGAACTTTCATGAATACTTAAGGGGTTGTTGAAACGTGAATGTGCAGTAAGGCCATTATGAAGAAGAGTTGAAGCAATGCCAGAAGATGCAACAGCTATAGCAATTTTACCTTGAGCTCTCAAGTTAAATAATATTGTATTTAATAGAAATGATTTTCCAGTACCACCAGGACCATCTATAAAAAATAAATTATGGGATGGAGTGGAGTGGAGGGCAAGGACATAATTTTGGCATAGATAATATTTTGATCCCGATTAAATAAATTGTAGTTAGCCAAATATTTTTTATACATATCATCAGTATCGTAGGATATTTCCTCCCGAATAAGGTGACACATAATATTAGCTGTAGCAGATGGAGATTGGGTGGATAATAAAGGGATAGGCATTCCCAAAAAATCCTTAAGAGATTTACCATTTTGAATCAAAATTTGATTGATGTGGCATAGCGCGAGATTTTCGGTGATAAGGTTATCCGGCTCTGGTGATATTTTCTTGGAAAAATCTTCACAAAGATAAAATTTAAAATAATTCCATAGACCTAGAGGATCTCTCGGCTCACAATGTAATAAAATAACAGAAAATAACTGGCGCAATTGATTTGGCATCTTAAATGAAAGACCTTCCTCTAAACAATGGTTCCATTCCGCATCATCTGATAACAGACCACGTCGAATACATGCATCTTTAAAAGTGTTACTGATAATTCCATTAAAAGAGCGTAGATCTTCAAAGCATGTAGGCCCAGTAACATAATTAAGTAATAGTCTTAAATAAAAAACCTCACCCTCTTTAGGATAAACTGTGCGTATACGGCCTATAACTTTATCACCACCCCTCGTTTTATCCACTGTTTAGATAGAGGTTTCCACACATAATATCTTACAAAATCTGCATAAATATAATGTCTGGCATCTGTGTCAAGTTGATTAATTTTAAACCATTCGGTTAATTTTGTACCAGGATTTTTAGTTAAGATATTATTTATATCAGTATTTGATTGAAAAAGGATTATATGTTGATTGGGTAGATGAAGGTCTAAACGATAGACTGCAGTTATTATTGTAATAACTAAAATTTCCTTTTTCTTTATTATTATTATATGAGTACTTTTGATTAGAAAAATTTCCATGATTATTCTCTATCTGCTCTTTAGGTTTATTAATTTTTTTAACATCATATTTGTCACTTCATCCTCAGCCTTTTCCATTGCCAAAGCCATATTTAAAACCTCTTGAAAACTCACCCTTTCTCCCATGTCATTTATTCCATCTGGAAATCTGGTGCGAATATCTTTCTCCAATGCACCCATTTTGATTCCAGCCACCATCTGATCCCTCAATCTCCCATCCAGGTCAGATTCAAATTTACACTCTTGTGCCAATTTTTTAAGTCGGTCTGCAAACTCAACAACTGCTTCACCATCTCCTCTTTCTATCCGAATAAGCTTAATTCTCAAGCTGAATAACGTTGAAATAAGCTTAAATACTTTTTTACCCACTTCAATTATCTCCTCATAATTAAGTTCTTTCAAAATTTATGGATATACAAAAGACCTCATCTCGTCTAAATTACTAATCCCCATATAAGCAAATAATATTTTTTTCTTGGTTTCATCATTTATTAATATACCTCTTACCTCCAACACATCATCTATATATTCAATATAATCTTGAAAGTTGTTTTGTTTGTCATAATTTTCAAATTTTATTTGTATAACATTATTTACTTGATTAATATTATTCGTTTTATTTGTATTCAATTCACTTTGATTAATATTATTCGTTTCATTTGTATTCAATTCACCACTAATAATTGGTTTTTTATTCATAATGAGATCGTCGCCAATATACAATACCTTATGTTAATATGACCGATTAATACTAACCTTTAAATTGTTTTTTTTATGTTGATATAAATTGATTTTTTATAAATTGTGTAGATTGATTTTTTTTATATAAATTTTGATATATTAATATGAAAATTGTTATATAAACCTGATTTTTTTAGTTTGATAAAAAAAAATGTAAAATTTTAAAATATATTTTATAAAATTAAATTATTAATTTAAAATAAAATAAACAATCTTTATATTAGAAAACTTTATGGTTTCATTTTTATATTTAGAAAACTCGTATCATTACATCAAATATCTTGTAAAACATCACCTTAATTTGTATACAATTTCTTTATTAGTATGAATAAGTCAGATGATAAAATGGTATATATTTACAATTCGTATATATCTGCATGATTGATTTGTATATGACATTAATAATATGTATAATATATCTCATTTATAACACCCACGACCCCCTTTAAAATATTTGGATGCAGACTGTTCCTATTCCCGTTCATGTAAAAGCTGCGCCTAAGTTGGAGACCAAATAATGATACTACGATAGTCCCATTCCGTGTTGTCCACGCACCAGGGGTCATCTTGGGCTTATCACAAAAGGAGGGTGGGTGCCAATTTATTTAAAAAGTGTATTCAATAGATAATTTATGGTTAATTTTACCCTTCTCCCCATATCCCTCTTTAACTAGCCTTCGGCATAGTTATGTTCATAGATTTATCTACTCTAAGTCTAATATAATAAAATATATGCATGTATTCTTTAATTAAGAGAATATTTAATGCCTATTTTACCTAAAATTTTTTTAAAGGTTCTGAGATAATTATTATGACAATTGTCACTTTTATAATTTACATTAAATATTAAACATTAAAATTATGACAAAATATTTTTAAAATAATTATTATTACTTACTCCAAATATTAAAAAATATACAATAGGTATTATGACAATTCTTACATTTACAACTTAAAATTATTCATAAAAATATTTTTTAAGATCAAGAAATAAAATAAAAGATTTTACCTCGATAATTTTATTTAAAAAAAATCACAATATATATGCTCAAAAGATTTTTAGATCAAAAATGTTTTATATCATCAATAAAGATTTCATTACAAAGGATTTAATCATCACAAAAGATTTAATCGCAAAAGATTTTATTAAATTATAAAATTTCAAAAATATTTGCTCAAAATCATAGAAGATACAAAAAACATTCTTTATTTTGCTCAAAAATCTTCTTTGAGCATGCTCAAATTTTTTTTTAATCTTCTCAAAGAATTTTACTCAAAATTTTTGGTCTTCAAATACTCATTTGAAGATGTTTGTTAAATTCTAAACACAAATGTAGAATCTAACTCAATTTTCTTACAACCAATAAAAAAATCAATCTTTTAATACCCCAACTAAAAGCCTTATATATCTTATTTTCCTATCAAAAAAGTTAGATGAATATTTTTACGAAGTTTGTCATTAGATTTTGCATTTTTTTTAGAATTAAAATGGGTCTAATTTTAAAATAAACATTGAATTAATTGGGAAATAAGCACAACTTTTTTGTATTAAGAAAACCAGCGTAAAAATATTTAATAAATTATTTTAAAATTTGGTGGTAATTTAAAAATAATAGGATGCTAATTTATTATTTAATATGATAATTTTGAAAAATGCGGTGCTTTAGCACTAAAACACCTAGCCAACAATGCTCCTGCCACAAAATTTTAATGTCGGGGGATATGATAGTTTATTTTGTTACAAAATGATTTTTTAAAGTGGACACAGTCTGTTTGATTAAGTCCATTTAGTAATAATATGATTTGTTGTAAAACATTTCCATATATAATATAACAACTTCCTTGTAAATAATAGCATATTAGAAAATTTGAAAAAATAAAAATAATAGAAAGTACAAATATATGATAATGTTTTACAAAAAATTATTTTATTACTATATTTTGTTCTTTATTTAGGTAGTGCCCATTAAGACTAAGTTAATGGTAAACAGACTTAGGTGGTATGGGCACACAATGAGAAGGCCTATAATACTACATAGGAAATAAGGTGGAATTGATGGGCAAACGTAAAAGAGGAAAGCCAAAACTTCAATGAGACCATAAAGTTAGAGACAATATAAAGAAGTATAAATTAGATAAAAGAGATTGTATGAATAACAAGTGAAGAGAGATGTTGAAAGAGCTTACCACTAGAAAAGGTAAAGCTAAAGAGAGAAAAAAAATATTCTTTATTTCTCGAGGATAAAAAATATTTTGTTCGAAAATTTAAAATTTGAAACGGTAACGAAGTTTATAAAATGCAAAGGTAAAATTAACTATTTTATAAAACTTTAACATTCAGAACATAGCTATAAAGAAAATATTAAAGATAAGACCGATTTAAACGAGTCCTGGATGGATATATATAACATAAATCAGGTTAATTTATATATTTTTTAAATATAACATTAAAAACAGAAAAAGAGAAAATTAAAACCACATATGGATGGGGATGATATTAGCTTGTTTAGTATTAACTCAAATTCATCGAGATTATCATTGAGAGTAAATATAACAAGAAGAATTAATTTATATTTTATAGGAAGGTTTTAAAAGAAGATGTTCACTGCCAAAATTTCCAAATATTACTCATTTGATGCAACAACCTAATATTAACGAATCTCTAAAAAAAATAAGCCAATCTATACAAGTTATAATTCTAAATTTCACTAGTTAATAAATTTGCCATTATTAGATAAAATATAAAAGTCACATAAGTTTTAATTATCTCTTTATTGTAGTAAAAGGAGAGAAAAAATTATTTTCCATTTAAATATTCAAGCTTTGCTCATTCTGATAAAAAAAATTTAAGCCTGCCTAGACTGATATTTATGTTAATTTATAGGACTATACTCTAAAGCCCTCCATAAAATTTAAGAGTAACCACTCAAAACTCCTTAACCTTAGAAAAATTCTAGATACCCTCATGGGTCATAGGTAGCATTTCTCTGAACACTCCTATTGTTATATAATTTGTAACAAAGTCCTCTGTAATTTTAATTTGTATAAATAATTAAAGTATCCTTTTTTTTCATTACTCTATATTACACCTTTACTCTTAAAATATTAAAATTATGGTTTTTTAAGTGTTTTAATATTTACTTCTTTCCCTATTTTATAGGGCTATGCTGGTTCATAGATTTTTTACCTATAAAATTTTATCCAATATTTTGCAATTACAAAACTTATACTAATTCAATATTTAGATTTATTTTTCTTACTATCTATCTTTTAACTAAATTTTCTATACAAAAAATAACTATAAACTATGGGCAAACCAAGAAACATATTGAAATAATCTATTTCTCATGGCCAAGGCAATATTTAGTTCATTACCATAACTAGTGTTGTTAAATGGCTCTGTCAAATAATGAAAGTTATTTAGACTGAATATGCCCATAAAACATAATGTTTTGGTAACAAATGTTGTAGCTGAGAATTAAGGAGAATACAAATAAATAGTATAAATAAATTAACTACTAATACTTTTCTAATTAATATAAATTGTAATTACATAATCATAACTAAATTAAAAGATTAAAAATTAAGTTCGTAAAATAATAATAATTTACAAGTAAAATATCCTCGATTATATATACTTTTCTATTCATTTATATCGTCTTTACTCAAATAATATAAGAATTTGTTTCGTTTTTCTGTTTAACAGTCGATTTGAATATTACTTCTTTTTTCTCGATTTTATTTCAAGGTAAATTTACATATTACAACAGGCTCGATTTGAGCCAATTTTTAAAAATGGCTAACTCAATATTTAATATAGAAAAATATTATGCATGCTTCAATATTTTACTAATAAATGGCATAAAGATTGACATCTATTAACAAAATCTTAGGCTTATGCCATATTTCTCTGGCTAAAATATTTGAGTTAGCTGTTTTTAAAAATTGGCTCAAATCGAGCCATTTAACAACACTAATCATGGCACAAATGATTATGTGTATTTTTTTAAAAAATATTAAAAAGGTAATCATCTCATTTAAAATTTGGGCAATGTTTATGCTGAATGTGACTTATTAAATATAAAATCCTTTTTTATTGCAAATAATATAATAAAAAAATTCATATATTGTCATAAAATAATTTGATTTGTTACAAATAAATTGAATTTTCATTCTTCTATTTATTATTATTAGGATATTAAATTCTCTATTTATTAATATTAGGATGTTAAATTGTGTATTTAAAAAAAATAATATTCTATGATTATATAATGATGCTATTATTATAAATCAGTTTGTTATAAAAATATCAGTCCAATCCAGGATCTCTCAATTAATAATTAAATGAGAATTATATATTTTTTTACCTATGGGCTTCATTATATTGGCAATTTTGATTTTTACTTATTCTTATAATTTCATATAAAGAATAACTAATAGCCATTAAAGACCTGCAAGAGTACCTCTCTGATATGGGCATAAAAAAATTAAAAAAAGAAGACTTAACAGTCTAGAATCAGGCTTCTTAAAACTTCATAATTAAAAATAGTGTTTTTGCTTCTTTTATTAAATTAGAATGATAATTAAAATATCTTAGGGATTAGGATAGTGTTGTTAAATGGCTCGATTTTTAAAACGGCTAACCCAATATTTTAGCCAAAAATATAATGCAAGCCACAAGATTTTGTTAATAGACGTCCAAATCTTTCCGTCATCTATGAATAAATTTTCCAGGCTTGCCTAATATTTTTTGGCTAAAATATTAGGTTGGGTTAGTAATTTTTAAAAATCGAGCCTTTTAACAATACTAGATTAGGACAAAACAATTAGGGATATTTATTTTGTTTAAATTTATGGACCAGCTTGGGCTTATGAATAAAAGTTTTGGGCCAGGTATAGAAATTAATAATCTTGAGCCAGGCTGGGATCAAATTTTTTAGCCTGGTTGAAGCAAAATAAAATTGGATTTGCATTTTTCTAATTGAATTAAATCTTCCAATCTTAGTATTTGCTTCATTATCTACCATACTACTTATATATATTTTTTTTATATATACGGAAAAAACGATGATATAAATATTAAAAATTATATGTAAACATATACCTGAAATAATAGCGCAACTGTTCATTCAAAAATCTTGGCAAATTTAATTTAAGTGCTCCTAGTTCAGAGAGAAAACAAAATCATATCATTGAAGCCGACTCAGATAAATCTTTCAATGCTGAAAATGTCAAAACCCAAACCAAATCATCTCAGTACTTGAAGACATTGAATTCTACACTGGCTGAAAAGCAACACTTGAATGCCTCTTACAAGAGATTTACCAATACGATCAATTCAAAAGCTGAGGAGAATAGTGTTGTTAAAATGAATTGTGAAAAAGTCAACAACATTATTGTCCAACCAGAGATTAATACAGCACCAGAAAAAGGATCATTGGATACATCCCTCCTAACTAACGCCTTGATATCTTCTCCCTTCCGAAAAAAATCCCAGACCCTGAGTTCGGTTGACAGGGATCAGTATTTCAGGAAGCTCTACGTTGCAAATTTAAAAAATAGCGGCATCAATATTAGAAACTCCCCCAAGAGAACAGCCAGTTATGTGCCTAATAAAGTCAATCTTAGATCCGCTAATGGTTGTTGGGTTGAAACGATTGATGCAGACCTTCAATTGAGGTTGCAACCCCAAGAGATTAGAAGACAAGAGGTTTCATAAAATTTTGAATATATCTGTTTAAGTTTTAAATTTTCGTGGAAGGTCAAATGTTTTAATTATTACATGCATATACAGGGTTTCCCATTCAAAAAAGGAAAAGTCCCAGTCAAAAAAGTAAAAATTTCAATCATAAAAGGAAAAGGTCCGATCAAAAAAGGAAAAGGTTCAATCAAAAAAGGAAAAGGTCCAAACAAAAAAGAAAAAGTATCAATCAAAAAAAGAAAAATTGCCAAAAAGAAAGGAAAAAGTCCGATCAAAAAAGGAAAAGTGTCAAACAAAAGAGGAAAAGGTTCAATCAAAAAAGGAAAAGTGTCAAACAAAAAAGGAAAAGGTCCAATCAAAAAAGGAAAAGTGTCAATCGAAAAAGGAAAATTCCCAAAAGGAAAGAAAAAGTGTCAATCAAAAAAGGAAAATTTTTATTCAAAAAAGGAAAATGGTAATTTTTTTAAATTTTTTTTGTATATCCCATAAAGATCCCGGATAGTTATGATCCCTTTAAAAATTACGACATGTGTATGATGAAAAAAAAGTAAAGAATTGTTTAAAAAATGGACCTAAATTTATCAATTATTTTTAAATATACAAAAGAATTATCAAAAATGAGAAGAAAAAAAATTGAGAAAAGATACAAATAAAGTAAAGAAATCACAAGAAGTTAGAAATAAAATAAGAAGGAATGACACAAATAAATAAAAATTTAAGAACAATTGAAAAATTTATAATTTTTTAAAATAAAATTACGATTTTCCTTTTTTGAATGGAGATTTTCCTTTTTTGATTGACACTTTTTCTTTCCTTTTGGGAATATTCCTTTTTCGATTGACACTTTTCCTTTTTTGATTGGACCTTTTCCTTTTTTGTTTGACACTTTTCCTTTTTTGATTGAACCTTTTCTTTTTTTGTTTGACACTTTTCCTTTTTTGGTCAGACTTTTTCCTTTCTTTTTGGGAATTTTCCTTTTTTGATTGACACTTTTCCTTTTTTGTTTGGACCTTTTCCTTTTTTGATTACCTTTTCCTTTTTTGATTACCTTTTCCTTTTATGATTGACCCTTTTCCTTTTTTGATCAGACCTTTTTCTTTTATGATCGGACCTTTCCTTTTATGATTGAAACTTTTCCTTTTATGATTGAAACTTTTCCTTTTTTGATTGGAACTTTTCCTTTTTTAAATGGGAAGCCCTGTATATTATTTAGATTAACTTTATGAGTGCTATTAATCGGAAAAATTTCATATTTTTTTATGATAGTAATTAAATACAAGGATACTTTCTATTGTTAAAACACGATCTAATCTAAACTGTAAACACACTAAGATGGTTACTCACCCACTTGCTCCCCCCACCCTCCACCTCATTAAAATTCATTTTAGCACATATACAGACAAACCAACATCATTATATGATGCTTATGGAATTTTGGGCTGGTCAATTATCCAATTCCTATTTTTTTCAATATTAATAATATTATACCGTTAATAAAAATGTGAGCTATCTTATATCTAAATTAAAAAAAACATTAATTCATTTGACAATTTTTTTATTACTTTCTTTGCCAAATTGTTTCAATTTTTTTGTTAAATGTTAGGCCATTCATGAATTTTACACTGGAGAGATAGATACACTTGCGGATCTCAACTGTTTGAGAAGCGTTTACTTGGATTCCCTGAAATGCTTGGCTCTCATTAAAAACGAAGAAATAGAGATAACTTTCAGAACTCTTCTGCAAATCTTACCCGTCCACAAAGGTTAATTTTTTATAAACGAATTTAAAAATATAAAGCAACAAAACGGATATTGCACTATATGTGGAATTTATATTATAGCCTATTTTCGACTGAACAAATATTTTTTTAAATGATCAGATGGACACGGATCTTAAAAAATATTTCAGATACAGTCTTTAAATTTACTAATAATGTAAATGCACAGTGCACACCTTCCAAGGGTAATGAGTTGCATTAATGTAATTCGACTTGTAAATGTATTTTGAAACAAATTGGGAGAAATAGGAAAAGCTAGTATACAAATGATATAATTATAACGAAATGTTAATTAATTTGCTTTTTTATTTTTGTTGTAAAACCATTAAAAAGAAATGATCAAACACATTGAAAGTATACGAGATCCTAACACCAAGATCGTACACTCCATTGGTGCTATCTTATATAATTGGGTAATTAATGCTATTAAACTTTGATATATTTAATTTTTAAATATTTTTTCAAATAGATTTATAAGTTTAAATATTAAAACACCATACACTCGCTTATTTATATTTATTTTCAGGTGTCAACTCTTAACTGTTACATAGATTATTGCGGAAACTTGGGGAATTTGAGAAATCTTCTGGAAAAAAAATTCAAACAAGAGGTAAAAGTACGGGATTTCTTGGAACGTTGTCAAAATTCGCCATTTAGCCGTAGACTTGACATTTGGTCCTTTATAGGTGAGAGCAGAACAAATTAATAATTTATTCTGGTTCAAATTTAAAAAAAATAAATAAAATTTAATGAGGATATATCATATTAAAAAAGGGGAAAAAATATTAACTAGAATTAGCCTAATATTTGTGCTCTTGATTCAGATACCTAACAATTTGAACGAAATTTATGGTCCCTATATGAACTTCCTATTAAATTATTTAGGGAATGACTTTAATAGATTGGACATAAATTTAGCTAAAAATATAAGCTTGAATCCAGGCACTTATCTAATTTTGTTAAAAATTCAGGCCTCTAATGAATGCCCAAATTAGATACCATTTTTGTTACATATGTTTTCATATTTAAAAAAATCAATAGATTTACCCAGGACTCGCTTGGTCAAATATCCGCTATTATTCAAACAAATTTTAAAATTGGTAGGTAAAGATAATTCTATTTAGATCCCTGTGCACATAGGTTTGATCCATTTAGATTTTTCAGACTTGAACAAATATTCCCTAAGACTTGGTTGGATGGACCTTAGTTTAATTTTTTTTAAATATTTTGCCAAACCTGGATTGTGGCAAAATTTTATATTATTTTGCTATCCTAATACTTTCATAATTATTATGGATATAATCCAAAGGTGCACCGATATCGATTCTTAATTATAAAAATATGATTTATATAATCAACCACATTTAATTGTTATATTCCGTGTGATTTAAAATTTGATTGATTTTACATTTTTATTTTATCAAAGAATTTGACTTCCTCTTTTTTCTCACTTGCAAATGATAATCGAATTTAAGTAACTCATGAAGTGAACTGATTTCTTGTGAACCTGTTTGAGCCTACAACAAATATCCATGTTTCTTAGGTGTTTTTATCAATTTTCCTCATGAAAGCGAAAACTTAACATTCTATTTTTTTATACATATAAATTAACCTTAGTGACATTTGCTTAAAATTTTTATAAAAATGGGAGAAAATTATTATTTTTACAGGATTTTAAACTTTAGAATGGGGTTAAATGAACAGCTACATTAAAAAATGAAATTATTTTAAAAAATAAAATAAATACAACACTTTTGATATTGAAATTATTATATATTATTCCGTAGTTTTTTAGTAAATCCTTTATTGAATGACGATCGAAACGCTGGAAAATAGGGAATTTTTATACTTTTACTCTTAATTCTCCACAAATAAAAGAGTAAGGATTTAAACACATTTTGATCACGTTTACTGTAAATACAAAATTTCACCCAGATCCTAAGGAATCGGGAGAATCGTGATCGATTTTATATATAATGGACTTAATAATTTTTCCTTATAAATTCAAACCTTTCTCAGTCTAATATTTTTTTTTATTTTATTTCTACTCCCTGTAGGACCTATTTCTAAAATATGCGTTCGAATTGGCTTTGAAATAGGTATATTTGGAAAGAAAAATTAAAAATAAATTTGGATCAGGCCTGACCTGCAAAATTAGTTTCCATTCAGGACTATAATTATAATTGATTATAATTTTTATTAATAATGATTTATTTTTTATTAGACTCCAGAAACCCACGAGGATTACAATCTCATCAAACTTTCTGTAATAATTTTAAAAATATATTATTTAGGATAGTATAACACGTTTATCATGGGATCAAAGTTTATTTTTCTAAAGTTATTAGGTTAGAGACCTGCAAAAAATATTTTTTTTAAGTCTAGGCTCAGAATGACCTGTCGAAATATTTATTTTATTCTCTATATTATCATTATGTATTAAATGTGAGTATTCAACAAATAACTGTTAGTTTAATTATGTTTATGTTTTTTCATTATAAAATATGAATATGGAATATTTCTCACCTGATTTATTGTTCTGTAGGCTGAAAACGATTTTAAAAAAATTTGAAAAGTTTTAATTTTTTTTAGAATTATGTTTTGGACATGTTTTAATTTTTATATTTAAAATAGCTTATTTATTTATTTTCATTAAAGTTTCAAAAATTTGTGAATTTAATTTTTTGAAGTTTGGACTTAGCCTTAAATTCATTTTTTAATTATGATACCCAATCAGGTAAAAAAAAGGAAAAGAATAAGTAATAATTTATAATAATAGTAAGGAAAGTTTCAGGCAATTTTTATTACTTTGGCTACGGGTCGACTCAATGAAAATAATTTTAATTTGATATAAATCTTTATACAAATAAAATAAAGATTAAAGAAGTTGAAAAATTTATAAGACTCATCGACCGTAAGATAGGTTACAACAAATGCTTGGCCATTACCCAAAATTTAGAATATACCCACGATTTCCAAGTTTTTAGTTTTTATAATGTATTTCCATCATTTTTTTAGATTTTAATCGATCAAGATGAAAGCATTCTTATTAATAATGTTATAAACAATAAAAAATTAACTTTTTTTTTCTACGATATTATTAAATTTTAGAAGCACACTGAAATTCGAAAAGCTCAACAACTCATATGTTCAGGCATGCTGAAGAATCAGAAAGGAATAGTAAATTTGAATTGATATTTTTTTACAGCTACTAATTTAAGGTATCTTTGACTTAATATTGCTAAAAGTATAAAATGATTTTGATTGAATATAATATAGTAATACAAATGTAATTTATACACTTAGAAACTTCAAACCTTTCTCTTCGACAATATATTTCTCATGACGAGAGCCTCAAGCTTCAACGTTAAAAACTCGGGAAAATATATTGTTTACAAACGGCCAATACCATTAGGCGAGCTCTACTTGGTACCCCATGCCAATATCTCCAATCCCAATTACGATCATCTAAATTCCAATTGTAATAATAATAATAAAAATTTGTGTTCAACCTTAAATGCTAATTTGACGAGCAATCGCAATGCCGAAATTACGGAAGAGTTTGGGGAGAATAAAGAAGATGAAAATGACAAAGGTCAGTTGATATTTATATTAAATTCCAATTTTATACACATGAATGACTGTTGTATAAATCCAGAGGCTCTTTTTGTAGATACTTTTTCCATAAAATCATGCTCAAATTGCGCTATTTTATTCATTATATAGTAGTGATCTGCATCGGGCCTAATTTTTCAAGCCCGGCCCGGCCCGAAGTTTTTTTAAAAAAGTTTTGCCGGCCCGGCTTGAACCCGAAATTTTTTAAAATAAATTTACCGACCTGGCCTAGCCCGAATTTATTTAAATATAGAAATTACTTTTTATAATCACTCAAAATAAAAGACATATGTTATATGTCGTTTAGTTTCAATAAATAAAATCAAATATTTTTATTTTACTAAAAAATTCAATATAAAATTGATAAATTTTGATATAATTAAAAAAAATTCCAAGGTTCGACCCGAATTTTTTTTAAAAATATTAGACCCGGCCCAGCCCAAACCCAATTATTTAAAATAGAATTAGGCCCCCGAAGCCCGTTTGGGCCGAATACGGGCCGGGCCTAACTTTGCAGATCTCTATTATATAGTACATATAATAAAATGTTCTATTAAGATTCAGTTTTAAAAAAATAATATTCAATTCAAAAATCTCGAAATAAGTTTATGTCAACGTTATAAAATACAAAATATTTACATCTAGTTTTTACGATTTTTACTTAAATTATTATAACGTTTTAAGTCTTAATTAGATAAGGGTGTTGTAAAGGGTTGCCAGACCTGCCGGTTTTGGCATAAATCTTTCGATATTTTTACTCTTGATTATTCCATAATACACTATTAATTTACGGTTTCTCCCGAATTTTTACGTTTTAAAAAAGAACGTTGTTAGTAATGACTTTACTTTGCAGCATCAGTAAATACCGGATCGAATCTTGAAAAATTTGTAGATCGGCACACTCCTATTGGCAACTTTGGTGTTGAACCGTTATAATCTAATAATATTAAAACACTAATTAAATTTCTATATTTGATCAGAGTTGTTAAATCCTACTTTTAAAAGTAACACGCTACCACTATCGCTATTTGTCAAAAAAGTATCTTTGGCTACCTTTTAAAAAATTTAGAAATAAATTTGTTTTATTTTTTTGCTTATTATGTAATTGCATAGTATATATAATATATAAAATCGTCATTTATAAATATTTAAATATAGTTAGTTTTGATTATAAAAAAATTTATGTAAGAAGACTATAATTTAATAAAAATAACTATTTACGATAATATTCATTTTTTATTTTATTTTGTTGCATTATAATAATAAAATCATTTCTATACTATCATCCCCAAGTCTAGAGCGGCGATCAGAAAGTATAAGTTTCGCCTTACTAATCTCAACACTAGTACTTAAGTGCAAGGCAGTATTTATTTTTAATATAAAAATTATCAAAAATACTCATAGATTTAAAAAAAAACTCGTCTAGGGGATTTATCTTTTATTTCAAAAAAATTATCAATGGAAGTCGTTTTTATGCTTCTAACTAGGGCATCTTTGTCTGCTATCTCAATTATTAGTATCTGGCGACAAAGTTGTATCAAGGGATTATTGGCTGAACTGTATCAATTATAATCGATAATAACTTCATCAGCCAGTTTCTGAGAAATATGGCATGTGCAATTTTATAATCAATTTAGCTTGAATTGGTCTTTTTGAATGTAGTCTCCCATATAACAAAATTATTAAGATGTTTTTCTATCTCTTTAAAACTCTTGGCATGAACATTCTTACAAAATAAAAATACTATTAGAATTTAAAAATGACAATTACCTTTAGGTGTTTTGAGGTTATAGCTAATAGATTTATTTAAAGATATATTTTTTTACAGTTTGAAAAAATAAATTTGTAGCTACCTTTTCCTTTTACATTAATTTGAAAATATTTTCAAATTTTGGAAATAGAAAAATTTGTATTGTTATCAAGAACATTTTCTTCCATAAAAATTAATAATTGGGAAAAAGTAGCATGCTATTAGCTATAGCTACCATAAAAGAGCACGCTACTTGTAGCGAGCTACTTTAACAACTCTGTATTTTATTATAAAACTTGAATAAGAAATAACGAAAAGATTGATCTCTTTTATCTTTTAGATGAGTAAGCACTTCAAGTTTAGTATCATTGATTGAGGGTTGATGTAAACTCATATTTGAAAAAAAATATCTTGTTTTTGAGAATGTCTGGACTTTTATATTTAGAAATGTTTATTGAAGCTTCAGATATTATTAATGATTTTATGTTTAGATACTAATTCAACCAATCGAAGCCTAAAATATGGGCATGAAATGGTAACTAAAAAACCTGTTTCCTCTCATTCGAACTCTAATCCGACAATTATAACTTTTAATTAAAATAGGTGCACAAAGATGCAAGGAAGAGTTTTGTAATTCTAATAAAATTTTTTATGGAATTTGGAACCAACTCTCCATAATAAGAATTCTTTCCCTCCTGCAATTTATCCAAGGCAATTGCAAATAAAATTTTACAGTATTCTTATAAATATTTCATTTCTACATCTTTAAAAATAACATTTTAATTAGACTTTTACTTAATAATATCTATTACGGCATTATACATAAAATTTCACCTTGTAATTCAAGGCAAAGATAACTTAGATTTTAATATATCTTTCATAATTTCAGCTGATTTGGGTTTAGCCATTTCCCATATTTTCCACATATAACTACCATTATTGATTCATAAAATCTTGATAAAATCAATTATTATACCTTTGATATCACTTGTACATAATTAACCTAAATGTGCGACAATTAATTATAACTATATTGCCATCTAATATTGGCATAAAATGATTTCCCCTATTTTCTTTCAAAAGATTTTGAACGCTTTAGCAAAATTTCTTGCGTTATTTATGAGTCAAGGTAAAAATTAAAGATTCAGAATCTCTCATTATGTTCCCGCCAAAAATATGAATGATTGTAATTATTAATAGTTTTAATAAAAAATATGAATGAATGATTGCAATTATTAAAAGAATAATATAATTTAGGAAAAAGAATTACAAATGGAATTGTAATTATAACTATTAATTCCCATAAAAAATGGAATTAATGAAAGTTAAAAAAGAACTATAATTATGCAATTAATTATTGCCCAGCCTTGATAACAACATGTTAATATTTATTTTTTAAATTATAATCATTTGAAATAAATTAATATAATTTTAAAAACTTTATGAACTGATTGGTTTGCTGTAATATAGTGGGCAATGACCTTACAATTAAAATATTTAAATTTATTAATAGGGAAGTTCAATTGCCCTTTTGGCCCATCCTCCATGCGCCCCTGTTATTTACTAAATGTATATTAATCAACCATCAAATATTTATAAAATTTTAAGCCTCACAATCATTCAACAATGTCAAAAAGTTTGAATTCAGAGTTCAATTTAGACAAAGAGACAGTCATCCCGACACAACATTTGTTCAAAGTATAGTAATCGTGGATGAACATTGTCTGTATTGCAAAGATGTACACGATTTGAAAATGTGGACAGATTCGATTAACTCTTGTATCAAGCTATTAAAGAAAGAACAAACACCTCTTTATAAATAAGAAATGAATTTTTTTAGTGTACACATAAAATATAATATGTATTATTTATTTTCGATCTATCATCTATTTTTGTTTTAACGAAAAGGAGATGTTAAAACGCTAAAATAGTATTACTATTTGAATGTTATATTAATAGTATTATGATGAACAATTTGTCAACAGTTTTAAATTTATTCAAAACTCTAATAATCTCAAATTATTATAACTAATTTATATTATGATTTAATTTTTTTTGTAAGCCACGTGGTTATCTTATGTCAATATCCCATATTTTTATATTTAAAACTTATGAAATATAATTTTTTTAAAAATATCTCATCATATATATCCTTCATGCATGTTACTAAGGGCGTAATCCTTATTATTTATGAATATAAATATTAGGCAAATAAATTATGATGGATGGGTATAATTATTATATTTGCTTAGGCCAGATTATATTTTTAAAATTTTTTTAGGTTTTACTCCTTTAAATTTTTTTTTTCTATTGTCATTATTTTTTTTAAAAATTATTAACTTATATCTTTGTAGTAAAAATAATTTTTATAATGATGTGATGGGTAAGGGCTGGGGGGCGTGGTCGAGACGTTTTTATAAACTAATTGAATCATATTTATGAAAATTGTGAAATTTTTTAAGGGAGGGGGGGATTTCGGCTTCCTCTACGAAATAAAAAATTTGTTTTCCCAGCCGTTTTCATCATTAATGAGCCTACATAGCCTGGCCAAGTGTTTATTGCTCGTACGATTACAAAGTTGACTATTATTAAATCAAAAACATAAATAAACTAAAATGGCATATTTGTATAAAACTTATTATGGATATTTGGCAAGAAAGTAACTGAATTACTATTTATGATTCTTTAAAGTATTATATTGTATCCAATTTAAAGAAAGAAATTTTTTTTGTAAAATTTGAATTTAGGCAGAGAGATCGAACGGGCCTTTATTAAACCATAATAGAACCTTTTTATCAAATTTCTTAAATCGAAAATAATTTTCTCTTTAAAATAGTTTAATTTGATTTATGACTTATTTTTTCGAAATTCTTACCCTCTATTTTTATACTATATTTTTTAAAAATTTTAAACAAATTTATTAATTTTTCCTCAAAATTTAGGCCTAAAAGAACTTTATATTTTAAAAACTTTAAACAAACCATAACATTGAAAAATGTTTTTTTTGGATTTTATGAGTCAGAATTGTTTCTTATTTTAATTAAGGAATAAAGACGAATTTTTTTATTTTATTACTAGTAGTAATTACATTTTTTTGTAATTTTCTAACAAAACTCTGAATTTTATGGCAATTTCAAACAATATAATTATAATAAACCAGTGTTTTAAAGAAATACACATAATATAATTTTAATTTCTTATTCTATTACAAAATTACTTTAATTATTTATTTAAAGAATATTTACTTTATAATATAGTTTATTAAAATACTCTTTTGGAATTATAAATTTCCGGTAAAGTAAATTATTTAAAAAAATAAAATTTGTTCTTATTTTATAGGAAGCTTTCATGGGTAATGAGTGACAAAAATGTCGATACATACGAAATCATAGAATAAGGGGCGATTTCCTACCTTCGTCTGCCATCGATAAAATTGAGGCCGATAAGTTTAAGGATCTATCGGACAAAAGGTGTATAACTAACTGATCAGATTACCATTTTTAGTTAAAAATTTTGGGTTTGATTTATTGTTTAAATTAAGCTAGTTATTTAATATAAATAATTATAATTTTTAAAAACCATTATGGTAAAGCATTTATTATTTATAACCGTTTGATTCTCTTTTAGGATTATAACGGTTCAGAACCTTATAGCAGTTTACTGTTATTCCGCGTTTTATTATATCATTTATGGCCAAAGTGTCGTATTAAATTAAAAATGGAAACTATTAAATTTATTAATATAAATTATATAAAAAAATCTACTATTTCCAATTGGGCGGACGATGAATTTTATTATTCAATCAATATTGACGTTTTTTCATCTATGTCAATTGTCAAACATAAATTATACAAAAATTTTGATGTCCCTAATTATTTATAAATTTTATATAGGTATCAGAATTGAGATCAAACCGCATTAGTCGTCGGAATAGAAATTTAATTTAAGTATGTTTAAGCAAATAAAAATGGATAGCCTTCGCCCTTCAAAAAAAGCTTAATAAAATAAATATTAAATTTTTTAAAATAATTACTATAATAATTTATTCCATATTTATAAACTTTTTTAAAAAATTATTTAGATTTAAATTTTTCTGGGAAATTCACATAAAACCAGTGCTGCAAACGTTACTATAAAATTTCACCGCGACACTTAAAAGAATGTCGTTACTTTTATATTATACTATTCGAAAAAGGAACATGGTTCGTTACTTTCAAAATAAAATACTATAGATTTTATTTACCATTCATTTTTTCAATATATTATGTACGAAAAAGGTTTTGCTTTCTTTGCAAAAATTTATAAGTAAAAAATTTGACTTTTAAGTGTGGCCAGAATTTTCATATGAATTTAAAAAATGGGCTCACCCCCCCCTACTCGACCCATTTTGGTTTCTTTGCCCCATCTTTAGTCAGACTATGTTTTATTACTTACACTTGTACTATGCCACTTTTTATATATTTATAAATTTTATATTTTAAAAATTCTTCTCTCATAATTTATTCAAATTTAATGTCTCATTCATGCCAATTAAATACATAATTAAAAGTTTTTATTGTAATATAGAGAAAGAGATAAATATGACTAGATGAAGGTCACGATTTGGCTCTGGAACTGATTTTTAAAGACCAAATCGAACCGTAAACCAAAATGTATTACTAAGTCGAACAGTGGATCACGGTATATTGACGATTTTAAAGGTCGCCAAATTTTGTTTCTTCTGGATGATAAATTTTACTCAAAATTAAATATTTTTCCTATCACTTTAATTTACTAAAAAACGTAGTTATATTTTTGCTTTATGAAAAAAAAATTAAAATTTATTTAACATTTTTAAACCAAATTAACCTTAATTACTAAAATGGTCAAAGGAAAAAAATGAACATATTTGACTGAAACTTAGTCAATATACAAAATAAAGGTCTAGTCATAATATAATTCATTTTGTACAAGGTTAAATTACATTAGTTTCTTATATATTCAAAACGAAATAAATTGATGAGTTGTTAAATTATTTAATTATTTTTTGAAAAAAATAAGTTTGACATGTCCATCTTACTATATTGAATTTTTTTTTTTATTATAAATTATTTTAAAAAATTTTTTGATCGAAAACTTTCTTAAAGATTCAAGGTAAATTACAAATGAAAAATATAATATATTTATAAAAAGACCATATATTTTCTTTATTATTATTTAAATTAAAGATCTGCAAAGCCCGGTCTATGCGAAAACCCGGCTGGCGGGTAGCTTTATCTGTTTGATTTGAGCTGATTTTAAAAAACGGCCAACTTAATCACACAAGCCTGAAGATTTGGCCAATAGATGGCACAAGGTTTTGACATATATTAGTGAAATTATAAGGCTTAGGCAATATTTTTCTGTCAAAATGATTAAGTTAGTCGTTTTTTAAGGGCCTGTGCCGGGTGGAAAAATTAAAAGAAATTAAAATAGTCGTGCCGGAAATTAAAATTTTTATATCGGGTCCGGCTGGGTAAAAAATTTTACAGGCAGGGAAATTCGTGCAAAAAATTATCGGGCAGTGGGCCAGACAATTTGTACCTTAAACAGAGATCTGTAGAGGTACCATTTGCACGGTCTAGCCCGGATTTGGAAAATTTTTTTAGGCACGACCCGGATTTTTTTTTGCCCGAATTTCTTTTATTAATAATTTGGTCAGGGAATTAAAACTCATTCTGCTGCCTTGGTTTTTTTAAAAAAAAAATACCTATTCAAGCATTTTATGGACTATTTTTCAGCGAATATGAACCAATAATAAATTTTCATTATCTTATCTCCTCATTTGTCGTAAAAGGGTAAGTTGGAAATACCACATTTTTAATTTGACTGGTCAATGGTAATTCCATTATTTTCTGTTCCTCTTGTAATTTTATATAGTCTTTTATATAAATGTAACAGTCATTTGCGCTCTCTGTAAACATATGTAATTGCTAAAATTTTTAAGCAACTGATTCTATAGATTCAGTGTAATTTATTCTCTTTTTTGCTAAATCCTCTACTTGGAAAATAATTATTCATATTGATTGATATATTTAATTTAATAATTTTTAAAAGATAATAAGCCATTTAATTTTTCTCCTTATCATGACCAAACTGAAAATTGATTTCAAGGCCAAAACTGAACTGCGAAAATCGCAAATACGGAGACCTTCACCATTATATATATTTTTATAACCCTCAAGATAGAAGTTGGTTTTGTATTTTAAACTTGATGTCATTATACAATAGCAAATTAAACCGTATCAGGTCAATTCAGCGAAACTTTTATCGCGTTATCGCGAATGTCGTTTATCACGAAGGAATTTTATAGCGAAGGTAATATAGCGAAACCAATTCCGCGAATTTTTTTCCGCGAAACATTTATAGCGAAGACAATATCGCGAACTTATTATCGCGAATTTATTTCCGCGAAACCTTAACCGCGAATACTTTATAGCGAATACATTTTAGCGAAACTTTGATCGCGAACTCGTTATAGCGAATTTATTTCCGCGAAACCGTAACCGCGAATACTTTATAGTGAATACATTTTAGCGGTACTTTTATCGCGAACTCTTTATAGCAAATTTATTTTCGCTAAACTTTAATCGCGAATACTTTATAGTGAATACATTTTGGCGAAACTTTGATCGCGAACTCCTTATCGCGAATTTATTTCCGCGAAACCTAAACCGCGAAAGAGCGAATACATTTTAGCGAAACTTTGATAGCGAACTCGTTATAGCGAAACTTTAATCGCGAACCATTTATAGTGAATTTTCTACCGCGAATGTATTTGCGCGAAATTATTATAGCGAGCGCATGACCGCGAAAATTCTGAATTCATTTTAAGTGAAATTTATGTATTCAATATCAATTTACCAACCGAAGTTTCTTAAATCATAAAGTTTTAAGAATATTTTATTACGTATTGTTTATTTAATAAGCATGTAATCTCTATCGGATGTGATAGAAAATATATTAGTCTTCCTGGTCTCACTCACTCATGGTTGTAAGTATGGAGCGGACATTTTGGGTTAAGTTTTTACCAGAATAAGTTAACTCCCCCCCCCCCCCAACATAAAATTTAAAAGTGTGCTTTATGTCATTTAAAGTAATACTCTATTTCTAATCTAGATAAAAAAAATATACTGAAAGCTAAGAATTTTTTATTGATTTTCTCAGATTATTTTAATTATAAAAGATTTTACTGATAATTAATGCCTCCTAATTACAATTTCGATAAGCTTGATATAATGGTGAATTCCATATCAAATCAACCAAGGTTTCAACCCGACCCCTTTCAATTTTTTTTAAATTTTGCATACTGGTAGTATATACTATAACTAAGAAAAAAATGAAATTTTACCTCCCAAAAAGGCTTACCCGCTAAAATATTGGCGTTTAAAGCGCAGAAAAATGGTACATTTTTGACAAAAAGTGCCTCATTAATTTTCAAATATCTCGAGAAATAAAAGCTTAATAATAGTTCTTTAATATGACATAAAAATAAATATGATATAAATATGATGAATGTCCAAAACCGGATGTATAAAACCGGAAATGGCCATAGAAAAAAAAGATATTTTTTTTTTCGAAATTTTTTTTCTGTAGATAGATATAACACTGCTTTATATTTGTGCCAAATCCTAGCCTGGGATGAAAAAGGGTCTAGGAGTTATGACTCTTTATATGGCTTAAATTGATCAAAAATATCTTCATTTAATGAATACTTTTGAAATAATGTTTATTTAAAAATTATGTCTAAATGATATGCCCTTACTTTTTTTTATTTATTAGCATAAAACAATCTATCATAATTAAAATTCAACAAATATCATCATATTTAATTGATAAATTCACATTCATATTGTAGTTTTCGTAACCCCTAATGTGTAAGCTCTATAACTTTTACTACATCTTAAAATCATAATCACAATTTTCATTTATATTAAAGAAAAATGAATTCTCCGAATCGAAAATAGTATTCTTAAACGGAAAAAATAATAAAATTATTATATTATTGGGAAAAAGAAACTAAATTATTATAAACTAAAAAAATAATAAAATCATATTATATTATAGGAAAAAGTGCAAGACCATGCACAGGGATTTCATTGGACAAATAATCAGTCCACTATTTACTCTTTTATCATTTATTATAGTCAGGACAACATTATAAAACATATAAGTTTAATGGTGATATCAGATTGCTTAAAGCACAATGCCTGTGCCTTTTATTTATTTCAAACTAAAATGATCTTATTTTTAAAAGAAAGATTTGATACATTGACCAAAATTTGTTATTTTTCTGATGGGGCCGTAACTCAATATAAAAATAAATTTTTTTTTATAAATCTCTATAATCATGAATGTGATTTTGGTATAAAGGCCGAGTGGCATTTTTTTGCTACAGCTCATGGAAAAAGTCCGTGCGACAGTTTAGGAGGTATTACAAAACGGCTAGCAGCTCGAGCTAGTTTGCAACGGCCATATCAAAACCATATTTTGACACCAATGGATTTATTCGACTTTGCAACAAATAATATACATGGAGTAAATTACATTTTTGTAAGCAATAATGAATACAATAATATGGAAAATCATCTAGAAAGCAAATTTTTGAGAGCAAAAAGAATTCCGGGAACACAAAAATACCATGCTTATATTCACCTTGACGAAAATAAAATTAAAGTCAAAATTTATTCCAATTCTTTAGATAATTTAATATATGATATATTGTAAACATAATTAAGAATTATTATATTATTATATTATATGTAATTATGCATTTCAGAAAAATAAAGTTATAAATTGGTTTAGAATTATTTTGTCAAATAATTTTCAGTCACAATATGTTAACAATTAAAAATAAAAAAAAGTGAGGGCCTATCATTTAGACATAATTTTTAAAAAAACATTATTTTGATCAATTTTAGCCATATAAAGAGTCATTTTTCATCCCAGGCTCGGATTTGGCACAAATATAAAGCAGTGTTATATCTATCTACAGAAAAAAAATTTCAAAAAAAAATACCTTTTTTTTTCTATGGCCATTTCCGGTTTTATACATCCGGTTTTGGACATTCATCAAATTTATATCATATTTATTTTTATGTCATATTAAAGAACTATTATTAAGCTACATAATAAAATTTAAATTATTTTTCTAACTTAATTATTTCTCGAGATGTTTGAAAATAAATGAGGCACATTTTGTCAAAAATGTACTATTTTTCCGCGCTTTAAACGCCCATATCTTAGCGAGTAAACCTTGTTGGGAGGTAAAATTTCATTTTTTTCTTAGTTATAGTATATACTACCATTATGCAAAATTTAAGAAAAATTGAAGAGGGTCGGGTTGAGAATCGACTTTTTTTGGTTGATTTGATATGGAATTCACCAGTAGCTAATTCATTTGAATATTATTACCTTTCCTTTTTCTTCTATTCGCATTTTAATAAATAGAAATAACTGCAAAGTTATGATTAATAAAAAAAAAATTCAAAATATTCTATTGTATTAAATAAATTTGTAATATTTATGAAGAATAAATTATGGAATAAATCATTAGATCTTCAATTATTTTTTTTTATTTTTGCTGATTTCACAAGCCTAACTAAACAATATAAAAAAAAATTAAAAAACTTAAAATAATTTTCATCATTTTTTAAAATGATACCAGTTCAATTTAAATCACAGCGTTTTTATGAAAACATCACTAAACGCTTCTACTCAATTTGTAAGCACTTTTACTCATTTTTTCTAATAAAATGGAATTAAAAAAATCAGGATTTTTTGAAAATAAATAGAAAATGTTCCAAATCAAGAAAATAAAGATATTCCAATATCGGGAAATCAGGGCAAAATGGGTTAAGTGTTTATTTATTTACTTTTACATATTTTACCACGACAGAGGGGGGGGTTTGTTAAAAACATTTTCTAAATTTTGAGAAGATTATAATGAAGGATAATTATAAAAAGTGGCTATATTTTAATTATAGATTAAATAGGTGTCTTATTCAATTTTCTCATTTTGTAAATTGCAAAAATTTTTAGGCCCGGCCATACCTCCCATATTCTAAGAGTGAGGTGGGATTTTTAATGACTAAAGGATAAAAAGCGGGAAATCGCGACAACTGCAATCCTTTTATATATAAATATTGGTGAATAATTTTTTTCAAATTATACAAATTTAAATTTGAATTTGAATATTATCCATATTTATAAAGTCAAAATTTATAAAAATTAGATCCAAATCTATATATTTATCGGAAGGAATTTATTTTATTTAAAAGTTTATTATATTATATATGAAAATAAATTTTAACTCTT